TCCCTGCTATTCATTATAGGGTTTTTGGCATTTATCCAAAAAGCCTCAAAAAGTTTTCGTGCTGGCGTTTTAGTCTCCTGTGCAAAGATATTGACGTTTACTTCAAAATCGTCTCCGCTATGCTTTTGTATCCTATGCGTACCTAGTGGGGTGCTTCGTCTTGCTTTTTATTTGCCATCCAGGTGTTTTTTATACGGATACCGTATAAGTATATCGTACCTGAATTCATGCAATCATCGTCCTTGCCGTAAAGGCAAATTGAGCAATTTGTTGTTTCACATAGACGGTCACACAGGCGGTTACGAACTGACTGACAACGTAGAGTAGCCGGTGGTATTTCAACTATCGCTACCGATTCCTCTAGACCTGTGCTTTTTAGGCATCGTTTAATAGCTACGCTTACTTCATCGATAATAAAAGGCAACATAAACAGGACTTTCTTTTAGCCAAGTGTTTCGCTTGGGCGCGTCGCCCTCCTTCTAAACTTATTTTGTGAGGTTACTATTTCTTAGCCATTGGAGATGGCTATTTGCCGGGCCAAGTAGCGAGACTCTTCCTTTCGTTCCCTGGTTGTGAACACAGAGATGGCTGTTCGAAACATGTTTTTCACAAGCGCCCTCTTTGTGTGTGAAATGTGTGGTGGGAGTGGTGGGAAGAGAGGAAATGAACGAGGATGTTCTTGTTACTTGGCTTGGGTGCAGTCATCAACCATATGCGACTATAATCAGCTGATCTAGTCTTCCTCATTGGAAGTCACGTAAAAAGCGGTGAGTTTTTCGAGAACGATGTGATTACCATAGTTTTTTGTGTTTCTGTGTTTTTGAAGCGTTTGGGCTAGTAGATTGCATATCAGTATACCCTTCCAGGCTCTGATGAAGGAGATACTGCCGAAACGTCAGCTAGCGTTGTATTGTATTGTGTTTTTCTATGGAAGTAAATGTATTCTGGTCAATAACCTCGCGATTGCTGAACAAGAAAACGAAGCATTCATATTCTAATCGCGAGGTTACTAGAAAGTCGATCCTGGGAATTGTTGTTATTTTTAATGTTCTCACTACTATGTGGCCCATCGTCAAAATTAGTCTGCCGATTTAAGCACTTAATGCTTTCGTCTTGTGTTATAGGCATTCCTCTTCCTTAAAAAATTCCAACATTTAACGCGTGGGTTTAGCTGCTGCCTGGAAATCTTCTCGTCTTTGGCGCTAATGTTGTTGAAAGCAGTATTATGACAAATATTGTGAACTTAATCATTTTTGTTGATGACTGAGTGCCCTATCGCTAAACCACTACTTGAATGATGAGTCCGAATTTATATGCACAGAAGTTTCGGGAAGTATTCATTTCAAGCATTAGTTCTTGTAGCGAAATTTCTTTTTGGGACTAAATGAAATTAAAATTTGGAAGAACTATTTGTTGGTGCGAAAACTGAATGATCACAAGCACGCCTTTATAGAAAAATTTATTGATAACTTTAAAGCTAAAAAAAGCTTTTCGCATTAATTAATAAATAGTTGGAGAGCACTCCATGCCTTTCGAAGAATGGTTATATATGGTGGAATGCATATCTGGCTTACACAATGAATTGCGGTGGTCCATTGATGCGCAATCTCGGTGCTGCTCTAGCCTCGTACCAACTTGTCGACCGCCGAAGGAATGGAAGACTTGTTGGGGACGGGTTGGTGAGTGGAACTGAGGAAAACGTGTGCATTGTGGGAAATTTTTTTAAGTTTTATCTGCTGAGGTTATGAAAGTGTTTGGCTGGGTAGATCGCATCTCAATTTGACATTTCCAGGCTCTGAAGAAGGCGAAACCGACGAAACGTCAGCTATTGTATCCTAATAAATTCTATAACAACAACCTCGTGTATGCTAATTGAAGAAACACATCGAATTATCAATCAATGCCGAGGTTAACAGAAACTCGGTCTTGGACATTGTAGGTTTCTCCAACACCTGCGCTAACATGAGCAGCTAGCTGAAAACAAACTTCTTTAAACGTTTGTATACATAGTGATTTCTCGCACAATCTGTTCAAGTGGTTTATTTTATATTTAACCAGCACTGGAGCTTGAGCTGAGTCATAAAATGCGACTTATTTTAAACCGTTTGTCTCGGGCTTTACGGGACAGAGTATGCAACACATTTAACAATATAATGCAGCCATTGGCTACAGAGCACCATTTAATTGACTTTCTATGAGCGGTTTGTGAGTTGAGTGCATGTACTTACGTTGTGTGATGCGTCCTTTCTCAATAATGAATTGAGCTCAACAAATTAACTATTTTGTATAAGGTCTTATGACTGAAGCGCTTGTTCAAACTCAAACATTATAATTCAAAGCCTACGTATCACTGTATGGATCCTTTTTGGCTATAACAAGCATTGTGATCGGAGGTGCTATGTCCTTGTTTGACCAATTTGTCTATGAATGAAGACGAACGCCGAAACGTTAGCCAAAATTAACATATTTATCAAACTCGTTTGAGCTCAATGATTTGAAAACATGTTGACTGTTTCACTACCGAGTATAAATGACAGTCGGTTTGAAAATTGTTTTGCTATTCGCCTTCTGCTTGCTGACATAATATCGACTGTTGAAGGGTGGATTATCCGGTGAAAAACAAACTGTTATCAAACGATAGCCTTATCAGCAACAACAGCCTTGTGCAAAAGGATGATGCCGGGTGTGCTTGCCTCATTGGCGTTGTGTTCATTGAAGAAGATCCCGTCGTGGTATGACAACGAAGGCGCGACATCAAGATAACGAACAACTGTGGACCACCGACTCCGTCATCAGCTCTGATGAAGACGAAGTATTGAAACGTTAGCCGAAGTAAACATATTTATCAACCTCGTGTAAGCTCAGTGATCTAAAAACATGCTAATTTGTCTACGTTGCACAACTATGATGCTCAGCCTTTAACTTGCCTTTATGGTTGGATGACAATTTTTCACAGTTATGCAGCTTGCCGTTTTAAATGATGTGAACCACTCCAAATCTTTCTCAAGTAGACTTCTCGTTTCTCTATCATTGACATAATTGATGCTTGGAAAGATACTCGTTGTTGTTTCATCTTCATACCTATGTTCACCAAAACGCACTTTTCCTAGAACAGTTGGTGACGAATGAAATGAGCTTCACAAGAACACCATGCACTCTTTAGTTAATAGAGTACCTTTTCCAGATAAGTTACTAGATGAATTAATGAATGAAACGCATATAAGAACGAAACGAATCGCTTTTCAATTAGACGAAAAACCGTTAAGCCTGTGCTATCGACGTGAACGAATGCTTTATTCGTATTAATGAATATTCGCATGTTCCAATCATTTTTAAACTTTCTCTGTGCTTTCTAACGTTATACACGCCCTAATTCATCAATCATCTTGCTTTTCTTTATTTTTTCTTGCACAGGATTCAAAACCGTTCACTTCCCACGAGGTCCACTTACTGAAAGAAGCAATATTTCATAAACGTTTATAAATACAGGCATTTTTCACGAAACTTAAACACGAATGTCAGCCGCAGATGCTCAATCTGTTTAGTGGTTTTGAAATCTTCATCAATATAAACACTGGCTTCTGTGTGCTATCCGTGCAGCAGCTTGAGTGTCTGCTACTTTTTCTTCTCACCTGAATGCAGGATACCTGACGGCAGTGGTTTCCTCTGGTATCGTCGCAGAGCTAAACCAAAAGCTCTTCAGAAGAAGCACTGTCTCAGCTTCCTGATTCCAAAGGAGCTCTACTGTTTTGGAATTAGAGTTCTCCCACCTAGGCAACATTCCTTTTAACACCAGCAGCACTTTAGATTGATCGGCTAAACAATTGAAGACGGTGTAACAACCGAGTAAGAAAAAGCTGTATAAAAGCATTAATGAAGAATGGCTTAACGAAATAAAAGTCAAGAGAATTTGTTATCCTTTGCTTTTTCTTTTAGCTCTAGTAGCTGCAAAACGCTTTACAACATTGTGAATATATGAACAAACCCTCTGAAGACCATTCTGGGTCCCAAAATTCTAATAGCTCCACCAATGTTTAATTTATTGTTGCTAAAGCCACCGCACCATGATGTTATTTGTATGCAGCAAAAATCTCTCTTTTGAGAATTAATAAATAATGCATTAAAATGGCCTTGATTTCCAATTTATAGGGAAGCACCATGCATAGCTGAGTTTGTATTCTACAGCAATTGAACACGAGTCATGGTTTTCATGGCTTCTTTACAAGCTCTTACTGCTCCGTCATAGATTCAGTTTCGGAAAATTTCCTTAGTTACATCGTTTGTTGTGGTAAAGTCGTTTGAGACACATCTACGAGAGAACCTGTTCAGAGATTCGACGAAAGTGGTGAATTTTTTGTAATTATATTATTGAAACAAAAAGAAAGAGTTTACCATTTATTTGTTTGTTGTTGACTGAGTAATGTCCTTGTCGTTAAATTGCTTTTTTCGTCATCTTTTATTGAACTAACAGAAATGTAATCAAACTTCCTCACTCACGATTTCCTTGAGCCAGTAATGTTTATAGGACGTCAATATAATCTAATTAGTAAGCTGTAGAACGTGCAATTGATCTCAAACAGTGTAATGAGCTTGCTTGAATTGACGTTTTCAGGGAATGTTCGATTTCACAAACAAATTCGATTATCTTCAACATTCTACTGAAAAACCGCTTGAAATACGTCTTGTGCTTAACTTAACTATCGTATTAATTTCAGGTTTATTTGACGCATTTTCTTGTTGTCATTCACTTTGGTGAGGAGGTGTTGATATTTTAGATGGATAAAAAAAGGATGAAGCTCTCCGCGTTGATCAGTCCCTGAGAGATGTTACCGAGCCCGGAGAGATTAAAGGCTTGGTGGGCCATAGGCGCGGGAATCGATTCCACGTGTGTGTTGTAGGGCGCCTCCGACCACTGCGTCGCACGCGCCCTTATGTATATAAACAAATATAAAGAAATGCGCAGAAAAATCTGGTGCTGAAGCAATACGAACATGAAGCATTCAAACAATGAAATAAATCATTGTTATTATTGATATTCCACCTAGCTGCTTACCAGCGATTGGTCGCACTTGACTCTCTAGATCCGGGAAGTCACGAAGCATTGCCAGAGTACCATTGATGCGCAAGTCGATGTATCTGCAGATAGAGGGTACTGACATTGATGGCCGATTATATCACAGATAGATGAAGCTCAGACACCGAACCTTAGTCTATGTAGGACCGTGGGTTTGAACGCTGCAGCTTCAGCTTGATCCACACGTAGTAAATGACGGTATCGATTAATAGTGTGAATTCGGTCCTTTTCCTCAGATCTTATATATGTCTGCAAACAAGGAACTTTTTTCGCATGCTTCGAATCCAGTACAAAACCCCTTCGTTGTTGCAAATCAAATCTAAAACCTTAAGCGTTTTCAGAACATGGTGCTTGTTAGCAGATTTGTCATGCATAGCAAGTGCTTGCCGATAGTCGTGCGTAGCCTAAATGACTTCAAGATTAATATTTCTGGTTTTATCCTTCAACAGAAAAAACTACCAATGTTATCGATACTTGACAAAGTATGATAGGTAATTCGAAAAGCGAAAAACGAGCTCACAGTTCTCTTCTTCTCATTGAGAATTGCCTGAACGCGTTCCTCGTGTGTAGTCTCGAGCTGCTTCTTAAGACGCTTGTGCTCGTCTTCAAGTGAGGCAACAGTCTGAAAATTGATANCGATGTACCTGCAGATTGTTTTCATGTTCGTATTGATACTGGTACTGACATTGATGGCCGATTATATCACAGATAGATGAAGCTCAGACACCGAACCTTAGTCTATGTAGGACCGTGGGTTTGAACGCTGCAGCTTCAGCTTGATCCACACGTAGTAAATGACGGTATCGATTAATAGTGTGAATTCGGTCCTTTTCCTCAGATCTTATATATGTCTGCAAACAAGGAACTTTTTTCGCATGCTTCGAATCCAGTACAAAACCCCTTCGTTGTTGCAAATCAAATCTAAAACCTTAAGCGTTTTCAGAACATGGTGCTTGTTAGCAGATTTGTCATGCATAGCAAGTGCTTGCCGATAGTCGTGCGTAGCCTAAATGACTTCAAGATTAATATTTCTGGTTTTATCCTTCAACAGAAAAAACTACCAATGTTATCGATACTTGACAAAGTATGATAGGTAATTCGAAAAGCGAAAAACGAGCTCACAGTTCTCTTCTTCTCATTGAGAATTGCCTGAACGCGTTCCTCGTGTGTAGTCTCGAGCTGCTTCTTAAGACGCTTGTGCTCGTCTTCAAGTGAGGCAACAGTCTGAAAATTGATAAGTTCGGAGAAATGTTCCTAATGACGAAGTAACTTATAAAAGTTACTTCAGAATTGAACGATACATTTATGTGCATTTACCAAAGAAAATACAAAGTTTGTGTGAATAATGCTGAAAGTGAACAAGAAGACAGCTTTTTGTTAACCTGTACTTCAAGTGAAGGAAATTTACAAAAGGAAATAAGCAAAATGTCTTCTGTTCAAAAAAAAAGACATCCAGCTGTAAATAACAGAAAGAAACCTTGTTGCACTACTTTTTTTAGCATGGGTTTTTTTTCGTGGGAGATTTAAACGGTGTTAAAATTTCTCTAAACATTTCCACGTTTACATATTTGCTTTCATTGCTGGTTTTCATTACATCATAACGCGCTCATTCCTGATCTGTTAAAAAAAAATGCTCATGATATTTTACATCTTACATTTCAAATCCTCCATTTCTTCAAGCACAACTGATCCTTCCAAATTTAGCTGATATCTTATACTTTCTGGGCAAATAAATTGTTTGTCTACGCAATTCTTTACTTGTTTATCTTTTTTAGTTTTCTTCTTCTCATTTTCGAAGCACCTCTAAATCTGTGAAAATCGCACCTCACCATTATTCTTAGAAAGACTTTTTAAAATTCATTAAAGGATAAAAGATAAAGCTCTCGGAATTCATCAATCGCTGAGGGAAGCGCCAAGCATTCGACTTTATTAAGCATCGTTTGGAACTGATTGAATGCATATCTGGTCTTTAGAACGGTCACTAGCGGCGGCCAACCGTTGTCTCGAACCAGTGCTACTCCCAGACAACTCTGGTACCAATTTGCTGAACCCGGGATGATGGAAGGCTTGTTGGGCCATGCACGCGGTGGTCAATTCCATTTGTATGTTGCAGTGTGCCTACGACTACAGCGCCACACGCGCCCCCAAAACTCATTATTTCCAACAATTAATTTCATTTTGGCACTTTTCGCCATTAAGGAATTGCTTTTCTATTTAGAGACGCTATCTCCCTGCGCATTAGTTACCTCATGTTAGGATGTTGTGCATCTGAAGAACACTGATAGTGTCATATTCAACAGTACTCTTTGTAAGACCTTCCCGCTGCTCGGCTGTAACACTCGGTGACATTGCTGCTGCATTCATTAGACCCTTTGCACCTTCGGAATCAGTTAACACATAAGACACAATGCTAGCCTTTCAACAACCGGAAAAAATCTCTCCATTACAGGTGCACTTGAAGAATTGGTGACATAAAGGAAAGGAAGGATAACAGAACAAATTTGTAGCATCGACTTCAATGTATCGCATGAACCTTATTTACATTTGGCACACAGGACGTTTACTACTTGGAACACTTACCGCAGTGGTGGTGGCCCTATTCAACATATGAGCAGCCCAACCCTGCCTGGTTGTGGTTCGATCCGACTCCTGTTAAGACTATGAACCTTTTGGGTTCAGAAATACAGTGTTGGAGTTCTCTGAGAAACGGCCACTCCCACAACGTGGGAACGCCTTCGTGCTGCTATCCTACGATTCCAGAGGGAATCAGCTAAACCAGCATTCAATGACATTTATAAGAAAGATGACAATATTCAAGTAACAGTCGAAGCTACACGCAAAACTTCAAAAACTTTCGTGGATGGTGGATGGGGGAAACGAATAGAATAAAAGAAATGCTGGTACCAACACAATGCGATGCATGCTGTGTCGGGTCATGTAATAAACGATAGAAAAATTCGTGCTTAAAAGTAAAAGTTTCAAAAAACCGGTAAAAATCAGATTTTCAGGGTTTCCATCACAAGAGAGAAAAAAGTTGAAATAAACGAAGCATTACAATTGAACAACACAACGTTTTCCTTTTAGACGAAACCTCGCTTGTTCACATTGTTTTCATAGCCGGCATACAACGCTTGACTCAAAAAAGTGCAATAAAACTGTCCCAGAAACTCTGAGAGATCAGGTCTGCCCTGGTAGAATTAGGTTATCTGTATCTTCCATAAAAGATTTTGCAGATTCTGAAGTCTTTTATCGCAATCAATTAAATTCTCTATACCTGAGTTATGTTGGATCAGTGTTTGGAACGGCGCCGTATTTAGTCCACCTCAGGTGTTGTGTGCTTGTTGAACGAGACAGATAAGAAACTTATTTGATTTGATAGAACAGAGTCGACTTTAATTTGCCGAATTTCACTTTTTATACACTGAAACTGTATCAACATCAGGTTCTTGGCTCGAGTTTCGTTTTCATCAGGTGAAAGAAATGCTGATTACAAAATATATTTCCTTATTGCTTTTTATTGACGGGCAATCCACTTTTTATTGAATCCACTTGCAAACTATCGCGATTTTACCAGGAATCTAACTAACATTTCGTCAAAGTAAGAGTAAAAGCTTTTTTTATAAAATCAAACCGAAGAACCACTATTTTTCAAAGCCGACCATCATTCAACCCTGGCGTCAATAGTCAATATACTTTTTTTGGATTTTTTAAGCTCCACAAGATTAAAATAAATTCTTACTTGTTTAACGCTTCGAAGTCTTGATCATCTTCAGAGCTTGGCAGGTCCGAGTTAAAGGTCCACAGCCGATCGTCCTTGGGATTTGGTCCTTCATATCTGCATCGAGTCGAAGGTTCCAGACTGGGTGCTCGCAGGCTTCAAGCTATGCGCCATTTCAGAAATGTTGACTCGATGTGATTTCGAAAAGCCACATCTTAAGGACGAACAGATGTGGTCCATTTTCTGTGTTTAATTGGCTCTGAAGACGACGAACACTTCGAAATGTTCGATGTCATGTAAGCTGAACAATCTAAAAAAGTACAAAAGGCAGCTTTCATAAGAAAGGATCAGGTGAATGATACGAATTGTTGCCTTAATACAGCCGACAACTTCTTCGGTATACTTTTATTCGATATAGTTGACTTTTTTTCAATAATCCTTGTAGCCATCACTGAGGTGCATCGACAGTGGTAAATCTTCAAAGTGCTTTCGCTGATTTTCTAATTTGCGCACTGGGAGTTGTATTTTAAACTTTTTCCTTATATTTGTAATGAGTCGCATGAAGCCAAGAAGCCAAGCAGTTAGAGATACCCTGGAATAACATACACTGCTTTTCATTCAACCCTCATACCATACAAACCAAGCCTTTTATCTCTTCGCAGACGATGGCATAGTGCTACACAAGTTCAGAAGCATGCGAACCACAGGTTTGACACGCTAGGCGGTCGTGCTGAAATAGCATTTGCTAACGGCTTGTTGAAAAGGCCTTGCAAGCAATGAAAAAGCCTTCGGCGTCGATCAGTCTGAGAGGGATGCACCATGCTTTCAGTTTGATAAAGAATCGTTAAAGGTAAGTTAATGTATATCTGGCCTCTACAACGACTTGCGGTGACCTACTATATCAAGTTAGTTCCACTATCATTCCAGAGAGGCTTGGTGCCAATATACCGATCCAAGTGGAATGGTGGGAATAGTGAGTCCAGGGCGTTGGATTCAACTAACTACCGCGAGTTTATTGCAGGGTAGCACTAATCAGCGCACGACATGCGCCCATTAGCTAAGTAACGCAACTGTGAGCTTATCCTTACAAAAACGAAATGCTGCGAGATAAAGTTTGTACTAGTTTCTTTTGTATCACTTCTTTAATAAAAGTAGAACGTTCGTTGTGTCTTCAAAATCACAACATTTCCACTGTTTTAGTATAATTTTCTTAGACCATATCTCATGCGCGTTAAAACTTTATTGCATTAAGGCATGGAGATAAACGTGATGTGTAGCGCAGTGTCGTAGGTACTCTGCATTACACAAGGGATCGATTCTCTCGCCCAAGGCTCACCAAGCCTTCCATGCCTCTAGATCGGAAAAAATTTGTATCAGACTCCTCTGGGAGGATAGCTGTACTGGCTCGATACATTAGTGACCCACCGCGAGTCATTGTAAACGCCAGATATGCATCCATTCACCTCCAAGCAATGCTTAAAGAGGTGGAATGCTTGGCGAATCTCTCAGGGAATGATCAACGCTGAGAGCTATCTTCTTTGTTATCCCTTAAAAAATGGGGTGCTGATGTAGCCGTTATTAAAATGGTCAAAAACGACCAACTCTTAACTATGGCTTGATTAATTATGGTTAATAATTTTCTATATTAACGAGAAAACACGAAGCTGATACAAAACTTTTATGCGGCCAACATTTCGGCGTCTTAGCCTTTTTCAAACCCTCCTTGATTCGAGTTAGAGGTCTACTGTTGGTTGTTCGCCATCAAATCGAGTCGAATCTATTGAGTCGTATTATGACAGTAATGGTTAATTTCCAATTACATCCGCCACACTGGTATCAATATTGTCCCGACTCAAGCAAAAACTTCATTCCATTCCCATGTTCGGTAGTTTGGAAATTTTTTCCTGACTTCTAAAAAACACTGTTCCATGTTGAGCAGCCTAGAGTGTTGCCTGCGTTCTTGGATTGGAAGGCTTACATCCTAGTTAGACACTCATAAATACCCCCATCACTTCCATTATAGGATGGCTTCCATTACTAGACTTCATGGAGAGGTTTTGATATTTCAACTAGTTTTTCGAATAGCTTTCGGTATAAACGACGTGTCTGTCAACTAAAAACCTCTGGAATGATTACATCGATTAACGTTAACGATTCCTATACGTCTCACATGACCCTAATTCAATGATGATTTCGCACAAAACCAGTTTAGTGATCGAATGAAATCACAGAATCTGCCGTTCTCGAGCCTTTCTACGACTAATTTATTTTCTTTGTTTCGTATTTAATCTTGTATGCTGTTAAATACGATCGACAGTTTCAGCAAAACCATTTGATTGAGAGTGTGATCCAGCGGCAACGAGTGAAGGAGTGCTAGCAATGCTCATATATTCCATGCTTCTGTGAAAACTAATAGGTTAAATCCTGTCTGCACGCCGAATCTTGTCCGAAATTAAATCCAGGGGGATTAGTTTGTTCATCTCCCGCATTTCGCATTGCCTTTTCTTACCACCTACATGACGCATATGGTTCAGTTACTAAAGTGTTCACTGCCGGTGCTCTTCTCATCTGTCACAACAAAGACGATACAAACAT